GTGTGTGTGTGTGTGTGTGTGTGTGTGTGTGTGTGTGTGTGTGTGTGTGTGTGCTGAAGGTCAACAGACGATCATGCTAAGCTTGCTAACAGCTCCACCCTCTGACTGCTGCAGGGGCGTGTCTTAGAGAGAGGCTTTTATACCAGAACACAGCCGCTGTGACGAAACCGTGGAGAAGACACGTCACCGTGCAGAGCCGTTAACCAATATGCAAATTAGCCTGCAGTACCACTGCTCTACCCATATGAGCAGCAAAAAGACGTTTTTAGACCAAATATTACATATTTGAACAAATACGCACAAAAACATCAAAATTAGCACAGAAACAGTACTATATAACATTTTAGACACATTCTAGACAGTTTATCAGCTAAAAAGAGTTAATTTTGGGGTAAGTTACTCTTTAAAGAAAAGGATCTGAAAATTCAAGGTTGCCACAAAAACTAATTCCAAAAGGCTTTAATTCAGCTGATTTAAGAAACATTGAGCTGAACTTCCTAAAGCACCTCCACCCTGAGCTCCTGTTTATCACTGCGAGCTAAAAGCAGACGCCCGGAGGGACGGAGCAGCTGAGGAGCTGACACTCGCTGACTCAACGATTTAGTAGAAAAAACAGTGAAACACAAACATTTTTATTTTGACAGCAGAGTTTTCTCCTCAGAGACTCCCAGTTGAGCGTGTGAGAAATGCAGCAAAAACATCAGATCAGTGGAGGAACGGAGTGTGTGTGTGTCTGTGTGTGTTGTGTTGTGTTGTGTTACCTGAGGACCCCAGCCGTGGCAGGGGTGCAGGGTGGCTGTGTGGTTCTCCTTCATGCCCTGATCCAAACACAAGTGGCTGACTTTAGAGTTACGGATCTGAAATCAAACCTCAGGGTCAGTAACAGAATTTAAAGTACAAATATTTTTTTAAATAATGTATTTTTGTATTTCAATAAAAATACTTGATGCTACAAAAATATCCACTAATTAGTGTGACTGCTGAGTCAGCATTGTTGTTTATGAATCCTAATGTCAGATTCTGATAGTCTACTGTCTCTAAAACAAAACAAATTTTTTTTTATCCGTGCAAAATTCTTTATTTTATATTTTTATTAGCAGTAGTCGTATCATGTCAGTGTTAGTTTTTGTTCTGTGTGTACTATCTATAGTTTGTAAAGTAACTGTGTGTGAACCTCTGTACAGATGCTGTTGTGACACCTGAATTTCCCCTCTGCGGGATAATAAAGGCTATTCTATTCTATTCTATTCTATTCTATTCTATTCTATTCTATTCTATTC